GGGTGGGGGGGGGGAGTGCATATTTAAAAACAAACGTCACAGAATTGAGCATACGTTCAGAGGAGAAAAGGAAACCTGTATCCCGATTCCTGACCCGTCTCCACTTCTTTATACAAACTACTAATTAATAAATGACTACAAGGCTCTTTGGCGAGGGGCACTGCAGTCCACAAGTGTCAGGAAAAGGTGCCGTTTCAGCAACCCAGAAGTGGCTGGGGGAGGTGGGCGAAGAAGGGGGCAGGGTCCCCCATCTGAAAGCTATGGAGAGAGGGAGCAGCACCCGGGAAGGGAGCTGGGAGATTCCTGCACCTTCCTGGGGGGAGGCAGCTACAGGACGGCTGGGCTGTGAGGGCTGCAGCAGGAAGACGGGGCCCAGGGCAGACGTGTGAGTTCCAAGTACCTCTGGGCCCACCTGCGCGCCTACCCCAGGATCCGGGGAGGTGAGTCAGGTGGAGACGGGAGTCGGAGCGCTGGCTGGAATTCCACGAGGTACAGGTGCGGATGGGCGGAACCGAGGGCCATTCCAAGTGGATGGTGCGTGTGCGCTCCCCAAACCCCCACAGCAGTGGCGCGGACCCCACTCCAGCGGCAACACCGAACCACGACAGGGCTCCGTGTGCTACCACATCGCACAGCTCACTCCACCCCGCACGGCCTGAGTCCTCTTTTCCTCCACGTACCAGCCCTGGCAGGTGCCGGCCAGCCCTAGGAGTGACCCTGAGGGGGCTCTGTGCATCCCCCCCCCCCCCCCCCCCCGCCCCCCCCCGGGGGGGTTGGGGCCTGACCCCGGGCACTGGGGGGGTGCCCCGCCCCCAAAACGGCCCCCCCGCCGGCTTGGGGCACCCAGTGCCAGCCGCGTCCAGGGCTGCAGCTTGCTGGCAGGGCCGGTGTCTACCAGCAGGGTGGCGAGTGGGAAGTAACCTCGGTGAACACGACAGACCCAACCGCTGTTCTCAGCGGCAGTCACTGTCGGGTGGGCTCGACGCCACTACTGGGAAGGCAGAACCGCCACAAATGAACCCCGATGGCTGGGCTCCACC